GTGCCGGCAAAAAAAGGAAAGTTGGAAGAGACCCCAAGGGCCATCCAGTCCAATCTCATTCTGCCATCAAAGCATTCCCAATAGATGGCCATTCAGCCTCTATTTCAAAACCTTCAAAGAAGAGGACTCCACTACACTCCAAGGCAGTATATTCCACTGTTGAAGGAATCTGCTTTCCTGCCGTTTGAATCCATAGGCTTGGTCTTTCCTGCTATGTACACATAGTTTCAAATGCATATGGAGTGGCATTGCAAAACAGACCTCCTGTAAAGACATCAAATGCTCAACCTTTCATCTCACGGAAAGAGCATAGAGCATATATTCCACAAAAGATGCTTTCTTATTAGTTCTTTTTTCTTTTCTCAAGCCAAAATCTTTTGTTGACAGAACATGGATTATGTTGTCTTTTGTTCCCACCGAACTGTTCTTAAAGCTCCTTTTGCAATATCTACTACTCTGTTGCTAAATCTGGTAGCAATCCAGCTTCTCATATCTCATGCAGAATTCATAAAAGGCAAGAGAGGACAAGAAACCTTGCCTTCTGTCTCTCCATTCCCAGCATCAGATTAACCTCGCAGTGCAGGCTGGAAAATGGACGAGTTTTATTACATCTTGGATTTTCCTGTTACTTTTTGAATTTTCTCAACAATACATCTTATTTTTACCTATTTATCTCATTTATGCCTTAGTCCTCTGTTATCACAATTGCCTTTCCAAGGCAGCTTGCATTATAAAAGTGCAAAATTATATATCCTCTAACATTTCACAGATGAAAACTAAAATTTGTTTGGCCAAGAGCATCAAATGGAGGTCAAGATAAGGAAAATTATTAACGAGGAAGAAAACACAAACTTGGAGAGGCAGCAACAGTTTGCTTTTGTCTGTCGCTGCCTCCTCTTCCCATGACTTTGCTGAGTTAAATGGGTATGGATTACTTTTGCACTTTCCAATCAGTTGATGTAAGCTTAAGGCAGTGGTTCTCAACCTTCCTAATGCTGCGATCCCTTAATACAGTTCCTCATGTTGTGGTGATTCCCAACCATAACATTATTTTTGTTGCTACTTCACAAGTGTAATTTTGCTCTTGTTACAAATCGTAATTGAAGTATCTGATATGCAGGATGTGTTTTCATTCACTGGACCAATTTGGGCACAAATACCCAGTATGCCCAAATTTGAATATTGGTAGGGTGGGGGGTTGATTTTGTAATTTGGGAGTTGTAGTTGGTGGGATTTATAGTTAATCTACAATCAAATACATTCTGAACTCCACCAAAGATGGAATTGAACCAATCATGGCACACAGAACTCCCGAGATCAACAGAAAATACTGGAAGGGTTTGGTGGGCATTGACCTTGAGTTTTGGAGTTGTAGTTTACCTACATCCAGAGAGCACTGTGGACTCAAACAGTGATGGATCTGGACCAGATTTGGCACAAATACTCAGTATGCCCAAATGTGAACATTAGTGGAGTTTTGGGGGGGGGGGGGTAGACATTTGGGAGTTGTAGTTGCTGGAATTTATAGTTCACCTATAATCCAACAGCTCCTTGAACCCCACCAATGATAGAATTGGGCCAAACCTTCCTCATAGAACCCCCATGACCAACAGAAAATACTATGATTTCTAATGGTCTTTGGCGTCCCCTCTGACACCCCCCTTGCGACCCCTCCAGGGTCCCGAACCCCAGGTTGAGAAACACTGGCTTAAGGGAAAAGTGGAAGAGAGAAACTGGGTCAAGTGAAAAGCAGTTAAAACATAAGAGTATTGCAATTCATTTGCACAACCTCTGTAAAATATGAATTTGATAACACTTTAATTATATGACTTGATGCTGTGAAATCATGGGAGTTGTATTTTGGTGAGGCAACAGTCCTTTTGGGCAGAGAAGACTTAAAGAACTTGTAAATATCCAACTCTTATGAATCTATAGCATGGAGCCATTGCAATTACACTGGGATGGAAAGAGGAGTAATGGTTTGCAGCTCCATTTGGCATTTTTGTATCAAGGACATATGGAGCTTTCATAGTTCTTTTCTCAGAATGCGTCTGCACTGTGGAATTAATGCAGTTTAACACCACGTTACTGCTGTGGCTCAGTGCTATGGCTTCATGGGAGTTGTAGATCTACATGATGTGAGATACTCCACTAAGGCAGAAAAAAATGAAATGCAAAGATGGGTGACGCCTGGCTTGAGAGCAATACATGTGAAAAAAAATCTTGGAGTCCTTGTGGATAGCAAGTTAAACATGAGCCAACAATGTCATGCCGCGGCAAAAAAAGCCAGTGGGATTTTGGCCTACATCAATAGGAGTATAGTGTCTAGATCCAAGGAAGTCATGCTTCCCCTCTATTCCGCCTTGGTCAGACCACACCTGGAATATTGTGTCCAATTCTGGGCACTGCAGTTGAAGGGAGATATTGACAAGCTGGAATGTGTTCAGAGCAACTAAAATGATCAAGGGTCTGGAGAACAAGCCCTATGGGGAGCGGCTTAAAGAGCTAGGCATGTTTAGCCTGCAGAAGAGAAGGCTGAGAGAAGACTTGATGACCATGTATAAATATGTGAGCGGAAGTAATAGGGAGGAGAGAGTAAGCTTGTTTTCTGCTGCCCTGGAGACTAGGACGTGGAACAATGACTTTAAACTGCAGAAACATGAAAAAGAACTTCCTAACCATGAGAAGTGTTCAGTAGTAGAACTCTCTGCCCCAGAGAGTGGTGGAGGCTTCTTCTTTGAAGGTTTTTAAACAGAGGCTGGATGGCCATCTGTCGGGGATGTTTTGAATGTGATTTTCCTGTTTCTTGGCAGAGGGATGGCCCCGAGGACTCTTCCAACTCTATGATTCTATGATCTTTAGTCTTCTCTGCCAAAGAGTGCTGGTGCTTCACCAAACTACAAATCCCCAGGATTCCATAGCACTGAATGGTGCAGTTAAAGGGAGACCGCTGATATAATTCTATAGTGAAGATACAGCCCTGTCTTTTCAGCATAGGTTGATTGATTGATTGATTGGGCAGAGGGGTGATGGTGGAAATGATTCGATTAACTGTGAGTGCAGAACAGTTAGAGAAGCATCCTCGAGAGAAGCTTCAGCTCAGCCAACATCTGTCATTGCTCATTTATGCTCTGGCGGGAAGCCAGGCTCTCCCAGAAGGCTTTCTGCCATCCCCTGAGGACATTTGCACCGGCTGAGCCTTTGGCAAGGTTTTGTCCCTTCCTTCGGCTCCTGACACGTCTTGAACATCGCGGGGACAGCAGGTGCGAGCCCTCAGCTTTCACTTTCAGGGCCGCTGTCCAACCGCTTTGCACAGATGACCCCGCAGGACTGCCGGAGCTCAGCAAATGGCTCTTTAAAATCCTTTTCTGGAAAAACATCGACATCTGAGTTGGTAGAGCTAGGTAAATGCTTCCGGAATGCAAAGTGAGCCTGCATGGATCCAATGGTAAACAATGGGAATTAAGCAACCTCACTGCAATCCATGGTATTTGAGAAAGGCAGGCCCACCGAACCTTGCATTGCAAAGCCTGAGTATGATGTATTCAAGCTAAAATATTTTCAAAGTTTAAAATCTAGAGGTTTATTCAGCTGTACCATTTGCAATCTTGCATTATTGCCTGAAGGGAGCCTAATGGCAACTTGCTTCGGTTAAAATAAATTCAGAGTACATCTATGCTATCGAACGAACACACTTCAACATAATTTTAACTTTCAGGGTTCAATGCTATTGAATCCTGGGAGTTGTCATTCTAGAAGTTCATTAGCCTTCTCTGCCAAAGAGACCTGGTGGCTCACCAACTACAAATTCCAAGATGCCATAGCACTGAGCCGTGGGGTTTAAAGTGGCGTCAGACTGCATTAATTCTACAGTGTCGCTGCACCCCAAGAAAGGAGGTACAAGTTCAAATTCCCAATCATATTATTAAGGGGCCACAGTGGCACTATAGATTAAACTTCTGAGCTGCTGAACTTGCTAACCAGAAGGTTGGTGGTTTGAATCTACAGGACAGGGTGAGCTCTCGCTGTTAGCCCCAGCTTCTGCAGTTTGAAAACATGCAAATGTGAGTAGATCAATTGGTATTGCCTCAGTGGGAAGGTAAACAGCGTTCAATACAGTCATGCTGGCCACATTACCTAGAAGGGGTCTATGGACAATGCAGGCTCTTTGTAGAAATGGAGCCAGAGGTGAGCACCACCTCTCAGAGGCAGAAGGGGAAGCCTTTACCTACATCTGTGTTTTGTTGTTTCGAGGCATTGAACGTTTGCCTTGGTGTTTGTGTATGTTGGAATCCGCCCTGAGTCCCCTTGGGGAGATAGGGTGGAATACAAATAAAGTATCATTACTACGCTCACTCTGAGACTTTTTGGCCGATGTATATATTTCAGTCCAAGCCACTTCATAGCACTGTTGTTGGGATAAAATGAATGGGTGGGTGGAAATATAAATGATTCTGAGCTTTCAGAAAGAAAGACAACAGGAAAAAAGATCAATAAACAAAATTTCAAAATCCAGGAAGGATTCAAATAGGACAGGGATGGGCAAACTTCGGCTACCAGGAGTTTTGGACTTCTGGCTGTTAGGAATTGTGGGAGCTGGAAGTCCAAAACACCTGGAGGGCTGAAGTTTGCCCATGCCTAAAATAGGAGGAGGCATTGTGTGACTTACCAGAGTATTTTATTTCTGTCCTGTTAGCTAGATGTCTCAAAAAGAAAGAAAGAAATACAGATCCCTGGCTTTGCTAGACTAATCACTTTCTATGACCATTTGAAATAAGACAGCAAATGCTTTTTCAGCAACATCCAGTGAAGAGGGGACAGCTTTTTGAATGTGTCTTTAAATCCTTAGAGAAGTGCTTCATGCTAAGAACTATACAAATTGTGTTTTCCCCATATTTTGAAAACAAAAATAGAAGACAAGAAAATATGCAGTTTCCCAAAAGTACTGCTTATTAAATGTTTACAAAACTACTATGTGTATTTTATTTATATTATTGCAGCTACCTTGAAAAGCACCCAAGATGACTTGCACCGGAAAGCACTCAAGATGCTAGAAAGGTAAGAAGAAGGGAGGAAATGGACCTTATTGAGATATTTTTGTGGCTGCTGATGTGGGTTTGTTTGTACATATCAGGCCCCGTCTACAATGCCATATAATTCAATTTCTGACTGCAGATTAATGCATTGAACTGGATTATATGTCAATGTAGACGCAAATAAACCAGTTCAAAGTAGTTAATCTGCATTCTGAAACTGGATTATATGGCAATGTAGATCTAGTCTCAATCTCAAATTCTTCCATGCAGTAATTGTCAAGCTTTTGAGAATTTCCAAACCCAAGTTTTGGTGCTTATGAGGAATAACTATGTTTCAAAGTTGGGAAAGTGTCTCCTTTTGGAATCAATCAATGTTGCTACTTCTCTGTGTGCCAATCTGGAGTATATGAAGGTGTCGTTTTGACATAGTTCCTTGTTGGAAGGGGATTTGGCTATAAGTGACACACATTCCTAGACTCAGATGTAATATCTCCATTACAGTGCTATTTAGATGTAATTGCTGTCCTGTATTACTCTTAAACTGTATTTATTTTTAGCCCTTTGACCTTTCCACGTTGGCCATGGCTCGTTTCCTTGAGATCTCAAGTCTAGCTTGAAATCTGATGGATTACTAACCAAGCATCCATTAGCCAGCAGAGGGCATTGTGATAGCTCGGCTAGATCTTTGTATCCTGAACATTTAATGTCTCCCAGATACAGGATAGCCTGATAGCATTGAAGCAGTACCTTGTTTGGAGACTGGCAGTAGACTTGGCTTTCTGTGTATACTCAAGTATAAATTGGCCTCTTGTATAAATCAAGGGCAGGTTTTGGGGCTAAAATTATCAATTTTTTTAATCAACTGTGAATAAGTCGAAGGTCATTCCATGAAAAGAGGAAAGCCATCTTGAGACCAACCATCCCTGCCCACTACCACTGCTGCCATTTCCTCATGCAAGCCTTCAAAAAGGCCAAAAGTGGCACCGCAATGGAGTGTATAATTGCCCAGTGTTTTTTCTTACGTTTTTCTGGCATGGACTAAGTTCTTGCTTTTCAGTACTGTACTTAGAGAAGGTGATAGTTTTTATGGTGACAAAATTTATATGATAGATTCTGTTTTTTATTTTAATTTAGATGTTAAATTATAATTTATTTATTGGGTTATTATTTTTGCTATTATGTGTGTATTGGTTGTCGAACTTAGGCATTGAATGTTTGGCTTTTTGTGATTGGAATCCACCCTGAGTCACCGCAAGAAGATAGGGCAAAATACAAAAAAAAAGATTATTATTATTATTATTATTATTATTATTATTATTATTATTATTAGTTCATTTTTTATATAAGAGTTAAGTTACAGTACTAACATTGACCCATGGATAAGTCAGTCCTGGTTTTTTTGGGGATTACAGAGTTAGAACTATAGATTTGTTAGAGATCACAAGAACTATCCAGTCCAACCCTCTGCCATGTAGGGATGCACAATCAAATCATTCATGACAGATGACCATTCAGTCTCTGCTTTAAAAACTCCAGAGAAGGCAACTCCACCTCAAACTCTAGGCAGACTATAAGTACACACAGCAGACACAGAAATTCATTCCAAAAGGAAAGCTTTATCTTCAATTGCACCAATATACAGATGTATACACACACTTTCCAGTGATCCTCCAATTCTCCAACAGCCATCATCCATCATCTATTGCATTGTGGCTGGCTGCTAATATACCCTCCCATGATGCAATCCTTCATTCATGTTTTCATCAGCCACTTGCCTAGTCACTATAATGAGCACTTTACCACATGGACATGCCTATATGACTTGGCATTTAACCATCTAAATATGCCAGTATATTATAAAACTCTGAGACCTCTTCCATATTTAGTGATAAATGCGCCTGCCATATGTATTTACAACACGCTGTTCATAAATGTTTAGTTATATGGTCCCTGAGAACATTTACATTTGTTTCTCCACCAAAATCCTTACAGCATATTTAGTTACATTCATTTAACACTAAAGGTATCATCATTTCTCTGCATACCCTTTGCAGATTTTGATAAACAAATTTAATTCTTTTTCTGCCTCTGACCAAATTGAAAACAATTGTTGGGGAGTTTAAGAATGCTTTTACACTTTGTATTCCAGCCTCGTCTTTGACTTCTAGTTTAGGAATAGCTCTCCTTCTTTAGTTTTAACTGACTCACTTTCTAAATCTTGTCTGAGCCTTCACAAATTCTTTTACTTTAAAGTTTTCTACTAGCTCATAAAACCACTTTGTTTTTTCCCCTCTTGATCATAACACTTAAACAACCATAAAAGTGAATCCGTCTTCCCCTTCACTTCAGGAATATACTACTGTTAGTAATTCCTTGATCTTTGCTTGAGATTCAGATTTCTGTGCCTCAGTGACTCTGAGCAATGGGTGCAACTTTGTTTTCATTGTTTTCAAATTTCTTTTGCTCAAACCCTGTGCAAAGCTTTGTGTCACCACTCCTGCTCTGTGTTTACAAGTCCCATTTTAATGTATTGTTGAAGGCTTTCATGGCTGGAATCACTGTGTTGTTGCATGTTTTTCGGGCTGTATGGCCATGTTCTAGAAGCATTATCTCTCCTGACGTTTCTCTGAGGATGCTTGCCACAGATGCAGGTGAAATGGCAGGAGAGAATGCTTCTAGAACATGGCCATACAGCCTGAAAAGCCTACAACAACCAAGTCCCATTTTTTCTTGTAATTCCAACTGGTGGCTTCATTCCATTTTTCATTTTCTTTAGGAGCATACCTCAGTACTTTATGGAATGATTCAGGATTAACATTCATCTGGCAAACTCTTAACTCCTTGAATCATGAACTTCTCAGTAGGCATACCTTTGTTCTCTTGGATCTTTTTGGGATTTCTATCTTGTTAGTTACTTAAATGGCTTTATCATCCTCATAACTGCTTGGATGTTCCCCTTTCAAACTGCTGCTGGTACATTGCTTTTGATCATCATCTTCTTGATGTTTAATGGACACATGCTCCTGTGTATTAGATGCAGGGTCTTGTCTTTCTAGAACCCCAGGTGCAGGAAAAGGACTACTTGAGGGTGCAGGACTATCTATTGGCAAAAAAAATCTCAGTATTTTAGTGGACATGCTCCCACATTGCCTACTTCTCAAAATTAGCACTCCTAGAAATCACCACCTCGCAATTTCCTAGGTCAAACTGCAGCTTATTGCCCTTTCCTTATAACCTAAAATCTGAGCCATTACTAGTCCTTTTGTCCCTTTCTTCTATTCTGTCTGGGGATTAACATGTTGGCAAAGCTCCCAAACACTCTGAAATATTTTAGTGTTGATTTTCTATTATACAGTTTGAAGAATGGAGTCTCATTTACGCTAGAACTCCAGCTTCTATTTGGCTGTTTGTGTGGCTGTTTGAATTGCCTCTGCCCACCATTTTTTTCAATACTCTTCTACCAGCCATTGTATAATCCTTCATTACATTTAACACTCTCACTTTTCTTTCACTAGTGCCATTTTCTGCTGGACACTATGGGTTGGTTTTGTGGTGCCTGATATCCAATCCAATTAGGTGAGAAGATAAGCAGTCACAAAGTATTCCAAGGTAGGGTTCAGCAAAGTTCCAAAACAAAGTACAGACTTCCCTAATAAAATCCAAAGAGTTAGGGAAATGGTGATCCAAGGCATGAACTAGGTAATCACAAGAGACAAAGAGTCAAACCATAAACAAGAAATCCTTAAACTTGAGTCTTCCAAGCACGGCTTTCATAAGACAAGAGCAAAAACTTAGCAGGATTCCAAAATGATGCTTCATCTGACTATATTTCCCATGGTGAGAACTTTATATCTCCTTGTTAAGCCATTCCAAGCACTCAGAAATTGGTTTCGTTTTCCCTGAATGCCTCTCATCCTTATCTGTCAAAGTCTGGCAGAACGGCAAAGGCCTTGGCCGAGCTGTCTGTTTTGGCTAATTTCCATCCATCTGTCTATATGCTCATTAGTTTCTCCAGGTGCCAAGTTGTTTTCAAGTCCCAAATCCTGGGAACACTCTGGGAGCAATTCAGGGAGTCAACTATGATCCCTATCCCTTGTAGGAACATTCTCATGGGAAACTACACTTTGAACCAGTGTCTCTATGTCATTCTCTGCATTAATATCATTGACCAGACCATTGCCATCTTGGCCCTCATGGACATCATTCCCCACATCTAAAGTACCTTGATCTTTGAACACAATCACAGGCTGAAGTCCAACACACTGCCAAACAGCTCTTACAGTTGTGAATTTGATAGCTATTACCATCAGGAAGGGGTGGTTTTTTTTAATACTAAAATCTCTCAATTTATAGATGAATGTATAGTTTAGTTGGTGGTGTGAAAGAGACATTAATGGTTATGACGTGTAATATTAAAGCTACCTTTTATAGCAGCTCAGCTATGTCACTGTATTTTCCCTTTCTATGTATGGTCATGAAATATGGACAGTGAACAAAGCTGATAGGAAAAAAATCAACTCATTTGAAATGTGCTAGAGAAGAGTTCTAGGGGTACTATTGCTACAAAGACCAATAAATGGGTCCTGGAGCAAATTGAATCTGAACTCTCCTTAGAAACCAAAATTTAGTTTGTTGTACTGTGCTATAGCCATATCATGAGAAGCATTATTGTCTAGTAGTAATGCATAGTAATTTATTTACTTATTTACTGTATTTGTATACCGCCTTTCTCAGCTAATTGGTGACTCAAGGCAGTTTCCAACAAATCAGTATATATAAAACATAATAGATAAAAAACATTAGCAGTATAAGACATCACAAAAACAATGAAAGCAACATCATCAGCATCTCATTATTCTCAAATACTGTCCAATTCCATTGTCAGGTCATTCGATTTCCTATATTAGCTACTCTGTATTTGTAAATGCTTGCTCGAATAGCCATGTTTTAGCTTGCCTCCGAAACATCAAGAGGGAGGGAGCAGATCTGATTTCCCTAGGGAGGACATTCCATAGCTGAGGGTCCACCTCTGAGAAGGCCCTGTCTCTCGTCCCTGCCAAACGTGCTTGTGACGAAGGCGGGACCGAGAACAGGGCCTCCCCAGATGATCTTAAAGTCCTCAGTGGTTCGTAAGGGGAGATACATTCGGACAGGTAAGTTGGGCCAGAATCGTTTAGAGCTTTATAGGCCAAAGCTAGCACTTTGAATTGGGCCCGGTAGCAAACTGGCAGCCAGTGGAGCTGGCGCAACAAGGGGGTTGTATGCTCCCTGAGCGCCGCTCCTGTTAACAACCTGGCTGCCGATCATTGGACTAGTCGAAGCTTCTGGACCGTCTTCAAAGGCAACCCCACGTAGAGAGCGTTGCAGTAGTCTATACGGAATGTAACTAGAGAATGGACTACCGTGGCCAAGTCAGACTTCCCAAGGTACAGGTGTAGCTGGCGCACAAGTTTTAACTGTGCAAATGCTCCCCTGGTCACCGCCGAGACCTGAGGTTCCATGAAGGTTTCTACCAACCTTACAATAATAGTAAAGTTTCTACCAAAAGAAAAAGAGGAGAACCATATTCCAGATTCCAATCAAGAAAACCACAGCCCTTAGTCTGCAAGACCTGTGCAGAACGGTTGATGATAGAGTGATTTGGAGATCTCTCATTCATGGGTCACCGTATGTTAAAGTTGATTCAATGTCAGTTAATGACAACACATTTGCCCATTTGGTTTGTCTGGTTGTTACAGGCTCTTTAGCATTTTCTGCCAAAATGTGCTGGTGCTTTGCCAAACTACAAATCCCAAGATTCTATGGTAGTTAAAGTATTGTCAAGCTGCATTAATTCTACAGTATAAACACACCCTTAGGAACAGTATCAGAGACCGTTTTCTGAATACCATTCATAAGAAGTGTTAGACTGTCAGGCTCTAAGAATAGAGCGTCGTTAGCAGTGGCTTCATGCCTTTAAGAACTTCCTGCAGCAATATATGACCTTATAATTTATTTACTTACCTACTTAATTTTTCTCCTGCCTTTCTCCCGATATAGGGACTCAATGCATTGTTTAACAGCAGAAGTCTGAAGACTGCTTCATTCTGAATTTGGAACTTGAAAAGTAGCTTTAACTGATGTCTTTTAAAAATGTTTTTTCAGTAACAGCAGCTGTATTTTCATATGTTTGCTAATACTGTAGGAGAAGGGCTTGTTAAAAGTCTTTAAAATGAATGATAGAGAGACCAGGAACTAAATTTATGGGTGTTTGTGTACAAAACCGCTGGATCATGTTCTCTCCTTGGAGGTCAGTATTGCTTTAAAATAGTTTTGTGAATCCACAAGAGGAAGTTTGGTGAGGCACCATCACTCATAGGCAAAGAAGACTAAATACCTTTTAAAACTACAATTCCCAAGATTCCACAGCATTGAGCTATGGCAGTTAAAGTAGTATCAAACTGTGTTAATCCTACAATGTAGATGTGCCCTATGTGACTCAAATGTTGGAGTGCTACCGTTAGCCATAGAATCATAGAAACATAGAGTTGGAAGAGACCTCATGGGCCATCCAGTCCAACTCCGAAGCAGCAGGAAAATCATCTTCAAGGCACCCCTGACAGATGACCATCCAGCCTCTGATTATATCCTCTAAAGAAGGAGCCTTAATCACACTCTGGGGCACTGCTGAACAGCTCTCACAGTCAGGAAGTTCTTCCTAATGTTCAGGTGGAATCTCCTTTCTTGTAGTTTGAAGCCATTGTTGTGCGTCCTAGTCTCCAGGGCAGCAGAAAACAAGCTTGCTCCCTCCTCCCTATGACTTCCTCTCACATATTTATACATGGCTATCATGTCTCCTCTCAGCCTTCTCTTCTTCAGGCTAAAGATGCCCAGCTCTTTAAGCCGCTCCTCGTAGGGCTTGTTGTCCAGACCCTTGATCATTTTAGTCGCCCTTCTCTGGACACATTCCAGTCTAAGTCAGTGGTTCTCAACCTTTGGGTCCCCAGATGTTTTGGCCTTCAACATTCAGAAATCCTAACAGCTGGTAAACTGGCTGGAATTTCTGGGAGTTGTAGGCCAAAACATCTGGGGATCCACAGGTTGAGAACCACTGGTCTAAGGTGATGATGCTGAATTAGTCAGAGTTCCATGTATGCCCACAATGATCTTGACATCCCTTTTGTATGGGAGAGGATGTCCTGTCGTCACATTCAGGTTTGAGTGTTCCAGCTTTTCAATTGCTTAGGTAGAGTTTGAAAAAATTAATTTTTTGCACTATAATTCCCAAAAATCTTTTAAAAGTGACATTTTCAAGCTCTGTTCCTGTTCTGTGGCTCAAGGGAGTGAGCTGAATTCATAGGTTTGCATGTGCTAATTGAAAATGACTACAAGTAATGTCAAAAAGAGGTCTGAGTACCGCATGGCCTCATTTGGACATCACAACAAGCTGGAATTCAGGAGAATTCTTGCTTGTTTAGGATGAACTGCTGTGCTTGTTCATGCTGATAAATTGCTCCCATATGCAGTGGGACTAGATAAACAAACTCTGGACATTTGGTCTGTGTTTTGTTTGTTGCATCATGCAAATCCAGCAGGCACAGGCTCTCTGGCTCTACCTTCCTTTAAGGAGAAAAAGAAATAATCCATGATTTATATTAGGATTAAATATCTGACTTCTCCAGAGAGGAGAAAGGAACAGAGAGCTGGCTCCTTACAAGGAAAGACCTCTTATACTCAATCCAGACATACTAGAATGAAGAGTCTTTATGGACAAATTATAAAGATGTAGATAAAGAGAACTGAAAATGCCCATCAAGCTTATATACAAAAGAGCTATCGAGGTAGAATATTCCAAAGAAATACACAAAACATGATAATTTTAGAAGATTTCTTTGACTGACAAGACAAAAGACTTCCAAGAACAGAACGGTGTACAGCTTACCATTCAATAATAGTAATATATCTTCAAATGGTATTTCTTTTTCAGCTTTTAATTTTGGTAGTTGATTAAAATGTGCATGGCTGGATCTACACTGTCATATAATCCAAATTATCAAAGCAGATAATCCAGATGATCGGCTTTGAACTGAATTATATGAGCCATATAATCCAGTTCAAAGCAGATAACCTGGATTTTATATGGCAGTGTAGAGGGGACCTATGTGTCTTCAAGTGCCTGTCAATTCATGGCAGCCCTATACACTTCATTGGGTTTTCCTAGACCCAGGAGTAGTTAGAGGTGGGTTGTTGAAGGCTTTCACGGCCAGAATCACTGGGTTGCTGTGAGTTTTCCGGGCTGTATAGCCATGTTCCAGAAGCATTCTTTCCTGGTGTTTCACCCACATCTATGGCAGGCATCCTCAGAAGTTGTGAGATCGGTTGGAAAATAGACAAGTGAGGTTTATATATCTGTGGAATGTCCAGGGTGGGATAAAGAACTGTCTGTTGGAGGCAAGTGTGAATGTTGCAATTGGCCACCTCAATTAGCATATAATGCCCTTGTAGCTTCAAAAGCTGACTGGTTGCTGCCTGGGGGAATCTGGTTTTGCCAGTTCCTTCCTATGAAATACAGCCTACCTGGTGTTTGTTGGTAATCTTGTATCTTCCCACCAAGTGCCTATTCTGGCTGAAGATTTGGCAGTAGTGTTCCATTTTCCTAAGCTTTGCTTCTTATAATAACTAAATAGGAACTCCATATTAAAAATACAATACAGTTGGACCTCAGTGTCCATGGCTCTTCGGTTTGAAAATATTCCAACGAAATACTCCAAAAAGCAAACCTTGATTTTTCCCATTTTGTATAAGGGGTGTCATTTTTCTGTGCCATTGTGTATATTGGGACTTGAGCATGCATATATTTTGATATCCACACTAGAATCCTACAGCCAAATCACAGGAGATATCAAGAGTCCACACAGAAGAGCAGTTGCTGAAAGGATAAAATCCACAAAAGAGGCCTTGATTATATCCCAGTTGTGAACCTCTCCTGAAACATCTGGATGATCTCTGTGTAAAACAGGATAGTGGACAGAACGGATCTTCAGATGGATCCATTTTGTGCTGGTTGACAAACTGAGCTCTAAAGTTGATCAGGCATCCAAATCCAGAAGCCCTTTCATGTTACATAGTTATAGCACTATGATTCCGCTTTAACTGTTATGATTGCATCTTAAGGAATCCTTTGGTGTGCAGTTTAGTGAGGTACTAGATCTCGCTGGCTGACTGATTTAAATACCTCTCTTTAAACTGCAAATCCCATGGTCCCATAGAATGGAACAATGGTGTAAGCATGGAATGACAGTGCTGTAATTGTGTTGTTTCCATGGTGCTCCAACACCTAAGTTATGGCAGTAACCTCTTCTGTTTGCTAAGCCTGGTATGCTGTGGTTGCTCATAAAATATGACTTTTATTACTATCAAGGTGATTTCCTCATAACAAGGCTTACTGTATAGCAACCTTTGTGTTTTACAGAGCGCACGACTTGGCACCTGAAGACCACCAAATTATCCTCTATGTCTCACTGCAGCTGGCACTTGTGCGGCAGGTAGGTACAAAGGCCAGTGACTCTGTAACATTAGAAGTAAAAACTCACCATATATACTCGTGTAAGCCAACCTCATGTATAAGTCTAGAGTAGGTTTGGGGGGGTCAAAATTATGGATTTTTACATGAGTCATTCCATTGAAAGGAGAAAGCACCATTTCCACCTTAGTGGTCCAGCCACCCTTGGCTGCTGCCATTTCCCTTGTCGAGGCATCAAAAATGCTACATTGGAGAGAGAGAAGTGCTTCCTTTAGGTTGATGCTTCTTTTAGGTTCTCTGTCACATTGCCATGGCTCTGCCGGTACACAGGCAAAGGTGAACCAAAACAAACACCCAGCTTGTGTAAAAAACAACACTTACTGTCTGTTTTCATAGTCCAAAATACAAAACATAAAGATAGCACTCAGCCACAGAATATAAAACAAAGACTGACAGTAAATGCTGATGCAGGTTTGAGAGAGCACCGTAGTAAAAAATATCCAATTCAGTAGTCAGACGCCGAGAGTTCAATGAATAAAGTCCAAGGATCATGAGTCTATACCTTGGTCTTGGGAGATTTCAATATCCATGCCGAGGCCCTTCTTTCCGGCACGGCTCAGGACTTCATGGCCACCATGGCAACCATAGGCCTAATATCTGGTCCCACCCATAGTGCCGGACACACCTTAGATTTGGTCTTCACCCAGGGATGAGATGAGGGTGACGGGATGGAGGAGCCGACCATCGCTCCTTTGCCATGGACCGATCACCACCTGATCAGTTTTAGACTAACTGTGCCTTCTAACCTTCGCAGGGGTGGTGGACCCATTAGAATGGTCCGCCCCAGGAGACTGATGGATCCAAATGGTTTCCTGACGGCCCTTGGGGATTTTTCCACCTCCTTGGCTAGCGACACTGTCGACGCTCTGGTCTCTGGCTGGAATAGTGAGCTGACCAGGGCAATCGACACTATCGCTCCGGAACGCCCCCTCTCGAGTAACCGAGCTAAACCAGCCTCTTGGTTTACTGAGGAGCTGGCAGCAATGAAGCGAAAGAAGAGGAGGTTAGAGTGCGTGTGGCGCCTGAATCCCACCAATCCAGCCCAAACACATCTGAATGCCTTCCTAAGGTCCTACGGTGTGGCAATAGCGGCGGCTCAGAAAACATTCATCACAGCCAATATTGCATCCGCGAAGAATCGTCCAGCGGAGCTTTTCTGAGTTGTCAGAGGCCTGTTAAATCCGCCAAAAAGCGAGGCCTCGGATAACTCGGTGGCTCGCTGTGAAGCATTTGCTCGATCCTTCGCGGATAAAATTGAGCGGATTCGGTCAGGTTTTGACGTCACATTAACGGCAGTCTCTGGGGATGTAACGAGAGCATCTGCTTGTCCAGTTTTGTTGGATTCGTTTCAATTGGTTCAGCTTGAGGATGTGGACAGGATCCTTGGAGAGGTGCGACCCACCACATGCATCCTAGACCCCTGCCCTTCCTGGCTGATCAAGGAAGCCAGAGGGGGTTTGGCAGAGTGGGTGAAGGTGATGGTTAATGCCTCCTTACAGGAAGGAAAGTTTCCAGCGAGCTTAAAACAAGCTGTTATAAAACCGCTGTTGAAGAAACCATCACTGGATCCCACTCAATTTGACAACTATCGGCCAGTTTCCAATCTCCCCTATTTGGGCAAAGTCATGGAACGTGTGGTGGCAACACAACTCCAGGGGTTTCTGGTAGACACTGATTATCTGGATCCGGCACAGTCTGGCTTCAGACCGGGACATGGAACTGAGACAGCCTTGGTCGCCTTGGTAGATGATCTCCGCAGGGAACTGGACAGGGGGAGTGTGTCCCTGTTAGTTCTGCTGGACCTCTCAGCGGCCTTCGATACCGTCGATCACGGTATCCTTCTGGGCCGCCTCATGGATATGGGGCTCGGAGGCACTGCTCTGCGGTGGCTTCGATCCTTCCTTGAGGGACGGACCCAGAAGGTGTTACTGGGTGACACCTGTTCGGCTCCGCAACCGTTGTTGTGTGGAGTCCCACAGGGTTCAATTCTGTCCCCGATGTTATTTAACATCTACATGAAGCCGCTGGGAGAGCATTCGGAGTTTCGGAATGAGATGTTATCTCTATGCAGATGATGTCCAAATCTGTCACTCCTTTCCACCTGTCACCAAGGAGGCTGTCCAGACCTTGAACCGGTGTTTGGCTGTATCGGACTGGATGAGAGCTAACAAATTGAAATTGAATCCAGACAAGACAGAGGTCCTACTGGTCAGTCGTAAGGCCGAACAGGGTATAGGGTTACAGCCTGTGTTAGACGGGGTTACACTCCCCCTGAAGATGCAGGTTCGCAGCTTGGGAGTGATCCTGGACTCATCGCTGAGCCTGGAACCCCAGGTCTCAGCGGTGGCCGGGAGAGCTTTCGCACAATTAAAACTTGTGCGCCAGCTGCGCCCGTACCTTGGGAAGTCTGATCTGGCCACGGTGGTCCACGCTCTTGTCACATCCCGGTTGGATTACTGCAACGCACTCTACGTGGGGTTGCCTTTGAAGACTGCCCGGAAACTTCAATTAGTCCAGCGAGAAGCAGCGATTGCTCACCGGAGCGGCGTATAGGGAGCATACCACCCCCCTACTGCGTCAGCTCCACTGGCTGCCGATCCAATTCCGAGCACAATTCAAAGTGCTGGTCTTGACCTTTAAAACCCTATACGGTTCCGGCCCAGTGTATTTGTCCGAACGGATCTCTCTCTACGTCCCACCTCGAAGTTTAAGATCTTCTGGGGAGGCCCTGCTCTCGACCCCGCCTCTATCACAAGTGAGGCTGGCGGGGACGAGGAGCAGGGCCTTCTGTGGCCCCTCACCTGTGGAACTCACTCCCTGGGGAGATTAGATCAGCGACTTCCCTTTTGTCATTCAGAAAAAAATTGAAGACCTGGATGTGGGACCAGGCTTTTGGACATTCTGGCAGCTAAAGGAAAAAAAACCCGACGATGAGCAGGAATTGATGAAACGGAATGGACACTCGGAACTCTAGACACTGAGCATGAGATTGTTTATGTTTTGATATTGTATTGATGTTTTAACCTGTTAATTTGCTTAAATTGTTTTGTATGTTTTGTATAATGTGATATAGGCATCGAATTGTGCCTTCGCTTGTAAGCCGCCCTGAGTCCCCCCTCGGGGGTGAGAAGGGCGGGGTAGAAGTAATTGAAATAAATTGAAATAAATAAAGTAGTCAATAGCCAGTCCAGATATTCAAGGTTCAGGGTTCCAGGAGTTCAGGAGACAGGTCAGGATACTGAAAATCGACAGACCTGGGGAAAACCAGCAGCATCTACCACCAAAATAGGACAAATATGTTTCTCCCAGATCAGTCTCCAGGCTAGCTCCTTATAACCAGTAAAACTCAGCTGCAGCCTATGTCTTGCATACCTCCACCCTTAATTGCTTTCACCCCTAAACTCTTACTTACAGATTACAACAACAACATTTTATTATGGTCCAAAGACTCACTGTAGGCATAAAAAGTATGCAAGTAATGAATGGGATTAGGAACATCCAGTTGATTCAACACACAAATGAATAAAATTTACAACAGCAAAAACTGGTTTAAAAACATGTTGGCTAAAAAATAGGTAAAAGACTACAAGATTGCAGATTACTCAGCTCTTCAGAACTAAGACTTACATTAACCCCTTCCATCACCAACTGCTAAGCCTGCCTCCATCAACCACCATCAACTGCGGAACATGATACATGAGATGCTCTCAGAACAGACTAAACCAGGCATGGGCAAATGTTGCCCCTCCAGGTGTTTTGGATGTTAACTCCCATAATTCCTAACAACCGGTAGGAGTTGAAGTCGAAAACACCTGGAGGGGCAACATTTGCCCATGCCTGAAGTAAACTTTTCATTTTACCACTTTACTCAGAGAACGGGACATCTTAGCTCACACTGACCTGTGGATAACTTGACTCAGGTTTTTGCTGTTGATATTTTTTACCAACATTTCTATTTATAGATGGTTTTCTGGGTTACAACCATCTTCGATTAGACTTTTTCTTTGGGGATATATTTTGTAACCTTCGATCTTCAAGTTGTTTTTATCTATATTGACTTGTGCATCAGAAGCTAAGAACTTTCAGTACCTTTAAGGACCCATAAATAAAAAGCTGGGCAGAAGCTTCTTAAGGACAATTCTCTATTGGAAATTCAGTATGTTCAACATTTGCAAGTCTGGTTCATTGTTACACCAGTTCTGTCGGAAACTAGATTTCCCAGCAGACAGGGATATGCTGAGAACGTCTCAAAGGCTGCCTAGGCTCAGTTTCAGGTATGAAGAATGAGAATCATGCTTACCTGTGCATGAGCTGCTATCTGTCTTTGAAAATACATACTAAAAAGAAAACTCTACATGTCACTCAAAGACAAATGAATACAGAATAGAGTTCCAGGTCAGATTCTGTGAGCAATATTCTGGTGCCGATTGGTGTGAGCTGGACTCTCCGATGGCTGCCCTATTTCCCTCCATTTAACAGGATATAAATCTTTAAAGCATGCTTGGAGTGTGTTGCTGATACCCGAGACATATTTATTTTTAGGCCTCTAATATATCCTCCTCTGCTTTTGCCAATGTGGCTCATGATAAACATTTTCGTAATGCATTTTTAATATCCTTAATAATTTAAACTATCTAATGTATTCTCTTTCTGATTAACTGAAGGCTAAATGATACTACCAATGTACCTGGCAGATTATATTTACCAGGGAGCAGCAAGATTAAGGCTTTCAGCAGTCAATTTGGTGGCTACTGACGTTGGGGACAGTGTTCTAGAAGGACCTGAAAACTGGTCTAACCCTGGCAAATGGTGTGACAGTTTGGTCAAATCCGTTTGTGAATCTGAACCCCAGTGAACCCCTTAAAGATTATTTCTCAGATCTATTTATTGCCAAGCTGTTACTGGCCAGCAATGAAGCTTAGAAGCACATTCTGATAAACAAATACTGGATACTATATAACT